TCGTCGCACGCTTCTCGCTGGCCCGCCGGTCTCGCCCCAAGGGATCCGCAGCCCATCCCGCCCACGAGCTCGATGGGCCCGCAGGCCCTGCGCCGCGCGCGCGCATTCGCCGAGCCCTTCGCGCCCTCAACCTGCCGGAAGAGGCACCTCCTTGTAGTGGCCGAGCTGGCAGAGGCATAAGGAAGAAAGACCTGGCCGCGGCCTCCTTCCACTGCAGGGCCCGCGCAAGCGAGCCAGGTGAACCCGTCGCTGGCATCTCTGGCTGCGCCCGCTGCCGCGGGGCACCGACGCGGACCGCGGGGGGGTCAGTCCCACGGTCCGCCAGCAACCGTCACGCCGGCGGCCTGCCGCGGCCAGAGGGCTTGCTCCCTCGGCCACGGCCACGCCCCCCGCCTTCTCCTCCTCTGCCTCTGCTGCCTCCTGCTGAGTCGCCGCCGCCGCCAGCGCCGCCGCCGAAGCTGGCACCGCGGCCGCTGCCCCGACCCTCGCGCCTGCCTGCGACGGCGACCCGCTCGTCTCTCTGGCGCTCCGCCTTGCTGCGGGCGGTGGCCTCGGTCACCAGCCAGGTGGGCGCCAGGTCCGCGGCGGGCCCGGGTGGTCGCACCGCCAGCATGGCCGCTGCACCAACCCTGTCCTTCGTCCGCAGCTCGTAGACATAGCTCGCCAGGCGGCGCAGGTGCAGCTCGAGCGCATCGTCCGACGCGAGCCGCGCCAGCACCTCCGACTGCGCCCTGCAGCCGCTCCACATTGGTGGCCGCTGTCAACAGGTCGGTCCAGACGGCCGTGCGCCGCTGGCCCGTGACTTCCTGCGACAGCCAGTCTCTAGCGCTCGCAGCTCCCACCCCGCGCATGGAGCGGTAGATCTCCGGCGCCGCTCGCTTCAAGTCCGGCGGGAGGCTGAGGTTCCACCGACTGTCTTCCTGCTGCCGCTGCGCGGCTGGCGTCCAGCTCCAGCCCGGGGCCGCCTGCATGCCTCCTCCGTGCGGCGCCGCTGCCGTGGCCACGAGCGTCTCCAGCTCCTGCGGCAAGTTCCCTCCCGGAGGGACTTGGGGCCAGCACCCACGTAGCCGTGCGCCTGCAGCAGGCGCCGCAGGTCTGGGTGGAGGCCCATGGAGGAGTCCAGAACACGCCCAGCACACGTTCGTCGCCGCCTGAGCCTGGAACTCGGCGAGAGTGGCCTGCACCATCTGTGCCTCGCGGCCCAGCTTCACTTCATCGGCGGGGGGGTAGGGGACGTGGGCGCCGAGGGCGGTGGGCCCATCCTGCCGCCAAGCTGCTGGGCCGCCGTCTGGCTGAAGGGCCCCGTCACCTCTTCCCCCTTGCCGAAAGCCCGCGGGGCCGCCACGT